ATATATATATATTTTTATATATATATATATATATATATATATATATATATATATATATATATATATATATATATATATATATATATATATACATATACATATATGTCTGTATATATATATATATTATATATATATATATATATATATATATATATATATATATATATATATATATATATATATATATATATATATACATATACATATACATATATATATATATATATATATATATATATATATATATATATATATATATATATATATATAATTATAAGTTCTTAGTTTTAAAGTACAAACTTTAGCTAATTTGTAAGTAGATTCAACACTAAATATACATATGATACTACACAACCAGGATTCATAAAAATGCTTTCATACTGCACGGATGTTCTTTCCATTTAGTGTTATAAAAAAAAACATTTTAGTGGTGATAACAGAATTTGTTATTTTCATTTTTGACAAAAACTCCTAGGCTTTTTGCGAATATTATTGTTATTTTATTGTGTGTGCCTAACTTCTGCTAGAATTTCTCTAAGTATAATAAAATGTTTAATTCGCAGTAATTTCAAAGCAACAAAATAATATTTTATTGTTTCTTGTTTTAACATTCCTTTACCGTTAAGACATTACTTAAATAGACAACTAAATCCTTAATCTCACCTTACATAACACCCAAATCCTAACACATAACTTAAACCCTATCTACAAACACTTTGCAATGATTCTTGAAAAGAGTATATTTCAAAGGGGAAGTACCATGTAAACATATTTACTTGGGGTTTTGGATGGATGATTTTGCAAAAGATTAGGCATTTAAATATAGACTTTATTTTAAACGAGCTTATTTACGTGAATTAAGAGAGGTAACTGTGTTAATTAATTTTTAAATAAACACGGGTTGCGACCCCTTACTTAAAGTATTTCATACCACTTTTTGAATAACGTAATTATCAATACAATAATATGTAATACCACTTCACATTATTGACTTACAATTAATTTTTTAAATTGCTTGATACTAATAAAAATGGATGGTCTAAAATATGCAAATAAATCTAAATTTACTTTAGCTAATTGTACACAACACATAGGTCGCTCTAGAAAATAATTTAATACATTTTACATTTTTCATTCCGTCAAAAAAAAAAAATCTAAAAAGTAAGCAAGTTAGCAGGCTATGAACAACCGTCGCCTTCAAGACAATGTCTTTAAAGCAACCAAGCCCCTCAAACTCCTCGAAAAGCTAGCTCTACTTTTCATAGTGAAAATTATCAAGATCCGTCTGGTCAACTAAACTTGAGGATGATCGCCAATCTAAAAAGTAAGCTAGTTTAGCAGGCTATGAACAACCGTCGCCTTTAAGACAATGTCTTTAAAGCAACCAGGCCCCTCAAACTCCTGGAAAAACTAGCTCTACTTTTCATGGTGAAAAGTATCAAGATCCGTCTGGTCAACTAAACTTGAGGATGATCGCCAATCTAAAAAGGTAAGCTAGTTAGCAGGCTACGAACAACCGTCGCCTTAAAGACATTGTCTTTAAAGCAACCAGGCCCCTCAAACTCCTGGAAAAACTAGCTCTACTTTTCATGGTGAAAAGTATCAAGATCCGTCTGGTCAACTAAACTTGAGGATGATCGCCAATCTAAAAAGGTAAGCTAGTTAGCAGGCTATGAACAACCGTCACCTTTAAGACAATGTCTTTAAAGCAACCAGGCCCCTCAAACTCCTGGAAAAAAACTAGCTCTACTTTTCCCTTGGTGAAAAGTATAAGTTTGATCAGCTAATTTTTAAATAGCATCTTGGCGGACGACTGAGGCAGCATTACATTATTTTTACTAGCTTTTATTTAACTTGCTACCTCTGTCTATTGTCAGTCTGTCCGTCTATTATTATTACACTGACGACAGAGAGAGCAAGTTAAATTAAAGCTTGTAAAAAAAAATTCATAAAAACGTTTTAGTGGCAAGCTTTTGTGTACTAATGCACTAAAAAGTAGAAAATAAATTATACACTACTATTTAAATAACTATAAAGAGAAGCGTGGTTAAGTTTATTATCTATTGGAAACATTTACTAATATTAAGGAAGCGACCCACGCTTTTCTTTATAGCAGTGCATTATATTACTATTTATTTAAAGAAACTCATTAATGTTCTACTTTTTAGTGCATTAGTACATAAAAGCTTTAGTCAAAATGTTTTTTTTATGAATTTTTACTTTTGCGTATATACGAAGTATAGAGAAAGTCTTGTATTCTTGCAAAAAAAATTGAGATTTTTGCAAATCTCGACGTTTTACACCTCACTGATACGGAAAAACATAATTTTGCAATCTTGTCCGTATGTCTGTGTGTCTGTGTGTGTGTGTGTGTGTGTGTGTGTGTGTGTGTGTGTGTGTGTGTGTGTGTGTGTAAACACGATAACTTGAGTACCGTTACAGCTAGGTTGATGAAATTTCATATATAAGTATTTTATCAAAATATTGAGCGATTTCCGATAATCGGAAGTGGTACTTTTCCTACTTTGAATTTTTCAAAGCCTCTAACTTGAGTACTATTTCAGATAGATAAATGAAATTTCACATGTAAGTAAAAGATCTAATTCTCTACCTACTGTCAAATTTTGAGTAATTTCCGTTGACCGGAAGTACTAATTTACGCTTTTTCCGATTTCTCATTTCGCATGTAAATTTATAAAGTAGGCCTACTAATAATATTGCGCACTATTATGCACATTTTGTTTTGGCGTTCGCTTGGTGCGCAATTCTTTTTTCTATGAGATTCTATTCTATTTTTAAAAAGTTTAAGTATTTAAAATGGATTAAAAATCATAACTATATCCCGAGTTCCCATTCCCTGTTGTTTTATATAAGAATATTAGAGAAAGTTTAGGGGAGATCACTCCCGGTTTATACATTTTTTAAATGAATTTTTTTAATGAAATCGTGCACAAAAATAACATAAAATTTTGACATTTATCATCGTTTTTACAAGCTTTTATTTAACTCACTTCCTCTGTCTGTCGTCAGTCGTCAGTCTGTCTAGATCGAAACGGCGTTGCGAAATTGCAGGCACTTCTATTTGACAGATACGGTTCTTAGTTGGAACGTGGGTCAAGACTTGAAGACAATGCACCGTGGCATTAAATATGACTCAATTGGATGCCTAATTATTTTTTTATGAATTAATTACGATTTTGACTAAATTAGTAGGCAGTTCTACCCAACTACTCCACACGCGTCATCACGTTCAATAGCGCGTCATCACGTTCAATAGGCGCGCAATGGTTTTTAGTCATGTAACTATTGTAAATAAAAAACATGTAAAGTAGGCCTACTAAAAAATATTTCCATAAAAAACGTTTTAATAACAAGCTTTTATGTAATAATGCACTAAAAAGATAGAAAATAAATTATACACCACTATTTAAATTAATATAAAGAAAAGCGTGGGTCTCTTCCTAAATATTAGTAAAGGCTAAGTAAAGGTATCCAATAGATACTTAAGTGACCCACGCTTTTCTTTATAGTAATTTAAATAGTAGTATAATTTATTTTCTACTTTTTAGTGCATTATTACCTAAAAGCTTGTTATTAAAACGTTTTTTTTTTTATGATATTTTTTACAAGCTTTTATTTAACTCAATTCCTCGTCCTGTCTGTCTGTCTAGATAAAAATGCCCGAGCGAAATTACGGGCGCCGAATTGAAAGTTTGTCCCCGGGCGCCGGGAAGGGTCGCTACGCTCTGAGAAGCATATACACTCTACTTCATCTGTCCAATAGATCGCTAGGTCTAAAGCGCATTCTATACTTTTTTTACCAATAAAAATAGTAATAAATAATAATCTATTTTTAATGTGTTCCTGTAAGTTCCTAAATCGTATTAAATATTGCCAGCGATGGTGCAAGTCGCAAAAGATAACGCGCTTGTGCAAATTTCCCGCACTTTGTCCACATTGGGCAGTAATTTTAATAAAATGTTCTTAAGAAGAAAAAAAGCATATATTTATTAATGTAGCAGCTACAGAAAATTATGCTAATGATAGCATACAATGTATTCAATAAATATGTATAATTATGTTCTCATTTTGAAAACTCCATTTTTTTATTACAAGTTTGTCTTTACTAGATTCTACATATCTTTACACATGAAACCTAGATGGCATCAATTTATTTTGGAAATTTTACCCCATAGATTCGCAATCGTCAATCATTGTCATAAAAAGTTCTTAAAAAAACTATGTCACACTTCAGTTACCCTCCTCCCTCCCCCTAGTAATGTTTATCTTTCAACTATGATTTGTTTCTGAGTTATTAACTTTACTAGGTCAAATTTAGTGTTGATTTGATTTGATTTTTATTTCGATTTCTACAAAGTCTGTTACAGTGACATGTCACTTTACAATGTATAATTCCGTGTAAAATGTAATAGAATCTAGTCAAATGGTTACTAGTAGTGTGCGAAAGAGTAGTAATTTTACTAGCCTGGCATGAACAAAACTTTTGGGGGAGAAAAAGAAATGGTCGTAATTATTTATAAAAATCTGGAGTAAAGTAATCATGAATAAACTGGTATCGGTATCATGTTCAGTCGATACACTTGACCATGATCTTAAGTAGATCTAAACATTTATCACTGATGATAGAAAAATATTTTAATAAACTTACAAGTCCGCTAAATGCTATTCTGAATCTTTGAAGCAAAATAGAGTAATTAAGGGGAAAATAGCTGGGTTTTTCTTTAAGAATTAAAATATAATCGTATACCAACTTTAGCATTTAAAATTTCAAAAGCACATTTACAAACAACTTAATATAAATATTCAGCATAGATTTTCCTCGTGCTTGAAAAAATATATTTGAGTATTTTGATAAGTTTTGAAAAGTAATTTATTTTACAACTCTATTAATATATTTTACAAGGGAGCATCTGATTAAGATCACGTTTCAACCTCTAATTGGTATCGAGTACTGGTATTGGTATCGCTGGAATGGTGATCATAACAATGCTGTGCACCATTCTGTAGTTCTTCAATTAACAAGATGGCGGACGCCGAGGAACCCGAAAACGTGGAGACCACTCCAGCCAACGATATCGTTGTAACAAAATATAAAATGGCTGGAGATATGGTTAACGGTAATTGCCAATCTCTTAAAAATGTCCATTGAATGTCGCTTTTACTTAATTCATATGTTTAATCTCTTGTTTCCTATGTAAGCATATGCTTTCTTCGCCTCCACACAGATCCACAGCATGCGCAGACAAATCGTCCATGTGGTTGTGTTGCGGTGTAGTCAAAAGTAATATTTTAGACTATCTGATCAACTACATCTAGACACTCGGTTTCACTCTTGCTCATTATGCACATTTTAAAATATTTCAATCACCAACGACTTAGCAATTAATATGATGCCTTGTTTTACCTAACCCAAGTCAAAAACCAGTAGGGTTGCCAGGTGTCCAGTTTTGAACTGGACAGTCGAGTATTTGAGCAGACTGTCCAGGATAAAATAAATATAAATACTGGACAAGTATATAAATAATACTCTGTAACCCCCCTTCTGCTTTGCGGCATACCTGAGAAGGGAAGGATGGAAAGGTGTCCAGTATTTTCGGAAAAAGTATCTGGTAACCCTAAAAACCAGCCAAGCCAGATCCTTGTGTTTTACCAGACTTGATATCTAGATCTATTATCTAGAGTACCATGTAGAACAGTAGCGTAGCGAGGGGGGGGACATATGTCCCCGGGTGCCAAAATGGGTTGGAAAAATAAATTGAAATTGAGGGCGGTGCAAATCGAAAGTTTGGCGCCGGGAAGGGTCGCTACGCCTCTGATGTAGAAAGCTAGCATGCATTAACAATCTGGATGAGTTTAGGTACTGATGTCTGATAATAGACTCTTCCATTAAATAGGTTAAGGTGTGATGTGTTGTTAGTAGTATTGTTGTAATCGACTACTTTTAGGGCATATATTTGGGGTTAGGACAGGGTTAGCATTGACATTAGCCAGCCATGTGTGTATATAGTTTACTACCAGTAACCTAACACCCCTTTTTCAAAGAAGATTCCATTTTTGCACACGGGTATAAAAATTTCCCCAAAAATCTTTAAAGGGTGATTGAGGATAGTGATGTCCAAAAGTTTAAGTTTTCCAAAAGTTGGGACGTCCTCAGTCCCAGATGATTGTATTCCTGTACTTAAAAATTAAGTTGAAACACTATATCCAACTAGCCTGGTAGATCTAGGTAGGAGTATTGCGATTCCCAATGTCTGATGAGAGATGCTTCCAATAGTTGAGTTAGTAGTAGTGTAATTTTAGGTTTAGTTGTATGTCAGACATTTGGCTTAGGGCTATGGTAGTATTTAAGTTAGGGATAGGGTTAGTATTAACATTAGCAAGTCACATTTGTAATCTAACACGCCTTTTTTTTATTTTTAAGATTTATCGTTGTGGAATTATTGGACACGGATTTAACTCGTGCCCCTAGATCTGTAGGCCTATTATTACTATTCTATCTTTCCAATCTATATATATAATTTTCTTCTGGGAGCTGCTAGAAAACAAGCTGCAAACGCGCCTAGAAAACAAGCTGTAAACGCGCTCCTTACCTCCCCACCCCTTCATGGTTTTAGTGAGCTGTGTTCACTCTAAATGTTTACAAGCAGAGCCAACTATTTTAAAAGTAGGGGGGGGGGGGTTATGGTCCTTATGCTACTTATAGTGTTTTAAAGAAATATTTTCAGTGGCAGTGTTGGTACTGTCGAATTCACAAATTATGAATTACTAAATAGCGGCGTATGTTATGCCGCGGGCCGGCTCGTTGTAAATATAACCTTACATGGCTGCGTATCAATTAAAAGTGTAGACATTGCCTGACCCTAACAATAGTTGAACCTCCTTACCTTTATGGCATTGTTTTTATCCATAAGTTTAGTATTATAGTCGATTCTGGCTCATTAGGGTTTTTAAAGTAGGTCCTTTTGGGTTCTCACCTTCTTACTACGTTACAAAAATGTAAGATGGAGCTGTCTACTAGAAAGTTTTAAATATGTTGTGCCAGTTGTTTTTTGTTTTTTTTTTTTTAGAAAACATGCAAATGTGTCCTGTAGCTCTTAAACTCATATTCAAATTAAAAGGCTTTTGTTTTTACCACACCCTTTAGAATGGTTACATTATCAGAAACCATTACATTAGAGATCAGTTTCCATTCACATAAGCTACAGATCATGTTGCTTGAGTGATTTTGCATTTATTGGAGGTAAATGTGTAATTAAGCACCTTCATTCTTTTTCTGGTTTAAATGTATTAAACTTATTCTTGTTCTGTGTAGGCATACTTAAAGAATTAATAGCTAAATGCAAAGATGGTGTGACTGTTCTTGAGCTTTGCGAGTTTGGCGATAGCCGGCTCAATGAGGAAACTTCTAAAGTATTTAAAAAGGATAAGGAGATGAAGAAAGGTTGGTATCCCTTTTTTTTTTTATTGTTGTAACAGACTTTTATTTTTTAATTCTTTAGCTAATCATAAATTGCTTTCTTTTTCTTTTATAAAACAGGTATTGCTTTCCCAACATGTGTTTCTTTGAACAACTGCATTTGTCATTTCTCTCCTCTTAAATCTGATCCACCAGTTGTCATTAAAGATGGCGATGTTGTAAAAATGTAAGCTATTTATCATTATAGAATTATGTTGTATTGTGTATCTGCTTAAAAGTGGCTTGAATCTTTTTGAATTATTCTTATTGGTCAAAAGTATTGGTTTTACAAGTCCTCGAGTGATTACAATATGGATTACATTTTTGAAAATTTTGCTTTGTTTTAATTTATTTTTAATCTGAAAGTTACATCTCATTGTGGAGTCCGTTGAAAATTGTGGTTGTGTGTGGAAAATATTTAGTTAAAATAAAAACTGTTGTTTTATTTATTCATATTGTTCAGGTTTTATTTTATTTTTTCACTAGTGATCTAGGTGCACATGTAGATGGTTATATTGCTGTTGCTGCCCATACAGTAGTTGTTGGAGCAACAAAGGTATTGTTTTTTATCTTTCTTTTAGATCACTGGTATACTCATTTTATTTGTATCATCTTCCTCATTGAGTGATGTCATATTATTTTTTTTAGGACAACCCTGTAACAGGCAGGAAAGCTGATGTTATTGTAGCTGCTCAAAAGGCTTTGGAGGTTGCACTTCGCCTTGTTAAGCCCGGCAATACAGTAAGTGGCAGTTTTCCATCGTTCCATTTCTCCTTGTTTGTGACAAGTTTTTATGACCATATTGCATTGATTGTTTTACTTTGCTTGTAGAACTATTCAGCAACAGATGGGGTACAGAAAGTTACAGAAAACTACAAGTGCAAACCAATAGAAGGTTATTACATTTTTTATGCATAATTGTCTAATATTAGGCATTTGTACAAAATGCAATATTTGTATATATTTATTAACATAACGTAGGTTTTTGTTGGGGATTTTTTTATTTTTTCGTTATAAACCATTTTTCTTGTAGGTATGCTGTCACACCAGCTTAAACGTCATATTATTGATGGCGAGAAGGCATTTATTCAAAACCCATCAGAGGCCCAAAGGTGAAAATTGTTTCTGTTATTACAGTCACTTCTTATAGTCACTTCTTTTTTTTTTTTTTTTTTTTTTTTTTTTAAGATATGTATATTTTCACATTGATAAATCATTAATCTCTGTGCTTACAGTCCATTTTTTCTTCTTTATGGAGGCTAACTGTATATTTCACATTCTCACCAGGAAAGAACATGAATCCTGTGACTTTGAAGTTCATGAAGTCTATGCGATTGATATTCTTATTAGCTCTGGTGATGGAAAGGTGGGTCACTCTTAGAGATTTTTGTTAAATTGGTTTTTTTGTGGTTATTCGATTTCTCTTTTAAGCTTTTATTAGACTATATTTGCTTAATTCATCTCCGATTTTTAATGTCTTTAAAGGGCCGTGAACTTGATACAAGAACTACTGTTTACAAAAAGAAAGACATTATCTACCAGTTAAAGATGAAAGCTTCCAGACGTAAGTGGTGGTTAACTTTACAAAGGCTTGTTAATTAAAGCTGTTCCCTAGCCTAGAGACTCATCTAGACTGTTTTGCTTGTATTGGTTATTTGAGGTTTATGGTCACCTGTTCTGCCTTTACATTATACTTAGCCACTTCTTTTTCTTCCTAGCCTTTTTAACTCATAATGGAGTTTCTGTGATTTTTGTTCATTTCTAATTATTTTTTTTCCAACTCTTTCCTCTAATTTTGATTTCCACATGTTATGGGTCTCCCTGTTTTCCTTGGTTCTTGAAAGGCCTTGACTGAAAATACTTATTACAGATTACTTTAATATGTGGTCTATCCATCTTCACCTTCTTTTCCAAATTTCTAGCTCCATTGGTATTTTGTAAGGTTCGAATCAAACCTTTTTGTATTTAATCTTACCTGAGGCAACTATCTGTAAAAGTCTGCATCTTTCCCTTTTTGTTATCAACTTTCATCACTTTATAATAAAAATAGACACCATACTAACCATTAAAAAAAATAAGCACATGTAGATTTTTAACTATAAATATGTATAACAATACATAATCTATTTGTAGAAATAAAGTTCTAACAAGTTACTCTTAGAAATTTGAATTAGTACAACTTGTTTGTTTTTTTTTTTTTAAATTTATAGTGTATTTTCTTCTCTAGAATTTTTAAGTGAAACAGACAAGAAATTTGGACTGATGCCATTTACCCTAAGGTTAGTCTATTTATCTGTTTTAATCATCTTGTACATTAATTTCCCTACACTTATAATAGTTTTATTATTTCTTTCAATATGTTCCTTTTTCTAGGGCACACGAAGATGAGAAAAAGGCAAAAATGGGAGTTTTAGAATGTGTGAAGCATGACCTTATCCAACCTTTTAACGTTCTATATGAGAGAGAGGGTAAGTAAGCTTTAGTTAGTAGTTTGTTCAATTAATTCTATCACTTGTTCTCTGCTTGCTTATCTCATAAGTTTCTGGTATGTCTGTTCAGGTGAATTTGTTGCTCAGTACAAGCAAACAATTATTCTTATGCCAAATGGCCCACTGAAGATCACAGGTCTTCCATTAGAGGAAGGACTGTACAAAACTGAATACACAGTCACAAATGCAGAGTCTGTGGTAAGTGAACTACTTATTTAGATTTGTGATACTGTTGATTGCTGTTTACAAATTTAATATAAAAAAGATAACACTGCTTTGAAACAAAGATGCAACCTACTGGGAGAGAAAAAGATGCTGCAATATTTCAGAGGGGGGGGGGGTGATACAGCATGTATATTTTGTAATTCTAATGGGTAAAGCTTAAGAAAGTGATTATTTTTGTTGCACTGTTTGCTAAATGTGTTTTAATGTGTACATATGTGCTATGGACGAGTTAAAAGTCGCTGTGCATTTCTTCTGATTTCATTATGAAACAAAGCTTGTTTTTATCACATCGCAGGGGCTTAAAATTTAGTTCCAATTTTATCATTACAGGCAGTCCTCAGCACATCTATATCAAAGAAAGCTGCCAAGAAGAAGAAGAAGAAAGCAGGCAAGTCTATGGCAGAGAGCACAGAGAATGCAGTAGAAGCAGAGGAAGAGGATTGAGCAATCACCTCCTTCATTTTTTTGTTTTGCATAGTGTCCTGGTTAAGATGGATAGTGAATGTTTTGAAGACAGCCTCGGTGACTGTTGGTTGCAAGGGTGCCTTTGCATATTTTCTGTGACATCTGTTATTAGAAAGGTTTATAGTATCAAAATAAATATTTTGCAACATCATTTCTTGTCAGATAATATAGAATTTGTGGTACTGAGTACAGTTCATTGCTAAATTAATGAAAGCCGTATCACATTTTTATTGACCAGCATTTAGTGCTGGTGGTATAAAGTAGATTAATAGATCTGATTTTAACAAAGTTTGGGATGGGGTGCTACTTTTAATGGGGGATATACAATGGACACGACCAATACATGTTACATTTTGATATCAATAGAAGTTTGAGGTGTATTTTGGATCGTTTAAGATTTGGCAAGTTTTAAAAATCCTCTGAGTGTCTGGCAATTTTTGACTCAGTTTCTGATTTTCAAAAATTATCACATGTATTATTTTTTTAATGGGTATAGCAATTTTATTTTTTGCTGTTTCCTTTTTTTTTTTTTCTACTTTGACTTGCTGGGTTTTAAGTCGTTAAAAATGTTTAGGCCTGTGAGCATAATAGGCTTTATTTTTATCATCAGTCATAGTGGTTGGGTGTTTTTGTTTTTTGTCATTTTCCTGTTTTTGAAGCTACAATAAGTTACTCATCTCCTGCCACTTTAGATGTGGACCACTTGATTTCTTTATGGGAGGGTTCATTTGCTAAGACACAAAAAGTATTGTGTTTGTACATAATCTACCAGGTTAACTTTTCTTGGCTGTAGGGCTTGCTGGTTGCAACAGTTTTAAGTTTTTTAAAGTATTCCAGGAAGAGGTTTTAAGTTAGTATATATTCTAGTGTCAGTTGAAGTGAAAGTAAAATTAAAAAGTTTTATATTACAACCTGGGTGTTCTCTACATCGTTTATTTTCTAATATAAACTTTGAGTATTGGGAAAGTCATCCCCCTTTGCAAAAATAAGATACTGACTTGGGTTGTGTTTACTGATTGAAGTGTGCTGTTGGTTTTTGAGTACTGAATTGCATCTTAATACAGTACATGTCTGGCTTGACACACCGTTTTTAATACATCTTTCCTGCTGCATTTTTTAAGATTAAGAGAAATTTTGATACACCTGTTGTCATTTCTTTTTACCCAACAATCATGTAATTAAACTTGAGCAAATTTATTATTCCTTACTTAGTTTTGTCAAGTTGGTAATAAATACTTCACGGGATGATTGATATACTTTTAAGTACATGTACTTAGTTCTGCTCTGATAGACACATTGGTGCCTGATATCTGCAGAAATAATTTTCAAAACTTCCATTCAAACAAGAGTAAAATATTGGGAAATAAACATAATGAAACAATGCGGGCACATATTTATTCCATTCAAACCTCTTGTAATAGCAATTCTGAAAATTATTAACTTGCGATGGTGTACACATGCACAGAAGTAACGTTATCAAAATGAGTTGTGTACAACTTTTGTTTTAAAGCCATTGCTACCTAGAGATTTCCAAGCTACTGTAACGGGCGTACGTATCGCTGCATTCATACACTATCAAAAAGCGGTGCTTAATTAATTTTCCGTGGTAGTGTAGAACAGCATGGAATTGTTTTCTGTAATTCATGGGGGGGGGGGGGGCAATGGAGATCTTCCCCAGGCCTTTTAAAGACCCGTTAAAACAGCATCACGTGGGATTGAAGCTGTTTTTAGATTCAACAGCCGCTTGTGCCAAACTTTGCTGAGAAATTGCATAGGGCACTTTGTTCTGAGGACTGGAAACATCTCAATTAAATTGGAAAATATTCACAAACACATGATTTAGATTTTGTTGGTAATATTAACACCACAGAACGAAATTATGAAAAATGTAGCCTAAAAAATTAATCTTTCTGGGGGTGGCAGAGGCGTAGCGACCCCCTCCCGGGGACAAACTTTCAATTTGGCGCCCCCCCCCCCCCTATATTTTGTATATTTATAATTCAAAATAGAAGCTAAAATGAGCTTTTTTGGCGCCCCTAGGGTCGGGGACATATGTAAACCACACCCCCATCCCCGCTACGCCTCTGGGGGTGGAGACGCATAATCAATACATGTGTTCTCGCGGCAGTTGTTCGCCCAACTGTCAATTGAAACAATACACAATTTATGAATGAAGAAATCGATAAGCCTATTTCTTCCTGCAAACAGTGGGACAGAAACTGAGTGAAAGTCAATATGCTCAATTATAATGTTTCGCAGATTTTTAAGTACTGAGAATTGTTTTAAATGGCTTTAATCTACTATTTCTGTGACATGTTTGTTATGCGCTGAGTACAGAGGGGGCCAAAGTTATGTACGTCTGATTTAAAAACCATCTCGTACTACCTTAATGTCTACATGAAGGCCTACAGAACTATGTGAAAGGAAAATAATGTTGGTTTTGTGAAATAGTAATGTTTTTTTTAAGACATAGTTCGCAAAAGTAAACGCGGTTTTAAATAGGCCTAATAAATTGCGTAATCTTTTGAGTAGGCCTAAATAAAAGTGTGGATTGTCTAGATGCTGTTTCCAGTTTTCCGTGAGTAATTTTGAGCTAATTATTTCTAAAGGTACTTCTTTATAGTACAGTCCATGATTTTACTCTTTATTCTTTCAATATTAAATATAGGCTGTTTCATAATACTGTAATACATCCCTGGTAAGTACCGAATATTGATTTAGTTTTCCGTTCTTGTTAATAGTTGAAGTAGGGTCTACGGGTTAGGTCTCACTGTCAATCTTTCGTTCAAGGGGGAGGGGGACGAAGAGATGCCTGGAAGAAACACTGCTGACTGTCCTTCATCACTGCGTGGGTATGGGCCACCAAACAAAGATCTATGACCTGCGCTAATTTCCTAATTTGACTTTGCAGTGTCAACCTGAACGATGCAGAGCTGGGTGTTTCACGATCGACCTATTTTGCGCTATCCTTTGTGTTTTTACTGGTTGGCAATTTACGCAGTGTGTGCCCCATCCTGATTAAACCAACACAGAAAGATGTCCGGTTCTTTCCCACAAGTTGATGTTGATGATGGTATCGGGTCAGCTGATCATGAGTACGCCTATTCCTCTAACGTCTGGACTTTATCAATGGTGGTCTTTCTTATCCTCAAAACTGTACCCTTTTATAATGTGTAATCTCTTTATTGGGTACGAGATTTTGAAGCACGGAAATCTAAATAACTACTAATCGCGTGACTATGCTTTAAGCAAATTTTTGTGTTAATTAAAATCAATCAGCATCTCTGTAGTTCTGCAACCAACCTATTTATTGTAACGTCGAAAACGAAAACTCCACAAATGACCCTACTGGAGACCTATTTTTACTTTCTCGTATACGAAGTATAGAGGAAGTATTGTAAGCGTGCAAAAAGTTGAAATCGAGATTTTCACGTGAAAATCACAACGTTTTACACCTCCCTGAGTCGGAAAAATTTAGTTTTACAATTTAGTTCATATGTATGTGTGCGTATATGTCGTGAACAAGATAATTTGAGTACCGTTACAACTAGGTTGATGAAATCAAATTTGTAGTTCTGTATCAACTTTTCATTGATTTCCAGCAATCGGAAGTGGAACTTACATTATACTTTTGTTTTCTCAAAAGCCTATAACTTGAGTACTGTTTCAGACAGATAACGAAATTTCACATTTAAGAAAAAATCTATTTTCTGCTCTTTGTCAAATTTTGAGTACTTTACGCTATTTTTGACTCCTAAAAAAAACCGCATATGAATTTTTTAAAGTACTATGCCAATTTAGGCTCATCTTCTTCATTTGATCTAGACTTTTCCAGAGAAAACAAAACTCGTGGCTGGAATAATATTTGAGGCAGCTTTCAAATATTTCTCTCCTGGTTGGGGAGGGGGGAGACACTTGAAACTTTCGAGGGAGGCGCACTAAAAAATTCTCGAGGGAGTGGGGCGGACACTTTTAAAAAAGGAGGTTGACGTGTTGAAATTCCGATGTGATCTCCCCCGACCTTTTATATCTCAGTGCCAATTTTACGTTAGAGTGGAAATCCTGCAAACACAGAATTGCGATTGTTGCGTAAAAATATTTATATTTACAAAAGGGCCTACCTTTAATAACTGGTTAAACTAACTATTCCGAGTAGTGAATATAGGGCCATGTTTCCTCTCGTCTACCAAAAGGATATCAAGAGTGAAACGTCAATGGGTGTTAAATTGAAAAGTTTGAAGGCAGACTTTAACAATCGTCCTTGATTATGAGTAACCGCTTTATTATGACGTATTAGGCCTCGGCGACGTGTGCGACCTCGTGTGGCCTATTGATTATTTTTAGAAACCATTCGGCGGCCGTATTCTTTCTATCAGCCTTCTTAAAACACAAACTTGAGCCCAGTAAACCATTGCTAGGGATTATTGAGAATTACGTAGTGTATAACGCTACAGTAGCAGCTCAGCAGAAGACGTTTCAACCCATTTAGGCGTTTTATCAATGCAAAATGTCAGTTATAAGTTATAATACTCCGAACCATCATTTTTTTGTATCAACCTCCCGTGTCGACTGCAGGTTTTTCCGAGTTTGACAATGCGTTGAGTACTGGGGACGCCAGTCTTGCAGAACATAAATACAAATGGTAGCTGCAGTGAGGTTAATTCAATTAGTAATGAAACAGATAGTGTTAGTTACCTCACAAGTTAAAGACAGTTACAAATACTATATGGACGGTTCGACCCAAGGTCATCGTCAACACACAAAAAGACAAACAGTAACACAATTTTTGACTTAGCTTAGTCAAAAATTGTGTTACTGTTTGTCTTTTCTGTCTAATCAGTAACCACACTGTTGTGTGCTGGCGCAGAGGCGTAGCGACCCTTCCCGGCGCCCGGGGACATACTTTCAATTTGGCGCCCCCCTCGGCAGCAAATTTTCGATTTGCACCCCCCCCCCTCAAACTTTCGATTTTTTGCACCCCCCACCTCGAACTTTTCATTTCCACCCCCCCCCCCCCTCAAACTTTCGATTTGCACCCCCCCCCCCCCTCAAACTTTTCATTTCCACCCCCCCTCAAACTTTCAATTTGGCGCCCCCCCCTAAGGTCGGCGCCCGGGGACATATGTCCCCCCCCGCCCCCCTCGCTACGCCTCTGTGCTGGCGAAGACAGCCTTGTGGATAATTTCATTAGCTTTCACGTTTATTATTTGAGTAAGCCCTTTGAAATTAAATCACTAAATGGTTGTTGGAGTCACTATAATCGTTTTGAAACTTTCTGCACCTGGCGTTATTGTTAAAAATTATACAATAACAACATTGAAAAATCTCCTTTTTAGCGGCAAGGGCTATAAATTACATTGTTTATTTCTTGTTGCATTACATAGATTGCATCGTACCGCAATCACTATCTTGCTTCGTTCTCTTTACTTTTGACTAATTTGACTGTTAGTTTAGTAAACGTCTTCGACACTTTCCATGGAGAGTAGGATAATGAAAAAGGCTGAAAACTTTTTCCATGGTTCCGTAAAAGTGAGCACAGCAGGCTGAATCGCGCTTGCAGTTGAGGCTGTAATCCACGAAATTGGCAAAGGCGGCTTTAGGGTTCATTTCGATATAGACTAGGTTTTCATTGAACGCCCCCTTTTACTTCAGCCGTAACTGCCTCGACAATAAAACATAGAAAGATTTGTTATCTTCTTCAATTTTTCTAAAATTTTACTGATCCTTATCAAATGTATGACAACCTGATGGCGTAGACCTAATTAATTTAAGCCCATTCAGGAGGAAGTATATATATATATATATATATATATATATATATATATATATATATATATATATATATGTATATATATATATATATATATATAAATCTATTTAAATGCTTTTGAAGCAACGCATTTTTGGGCTGAACTTCGTCTTTTTACTTTCTCGTATATACGAAGTATAGAGAAAGTCTTGTAATCGTGCAAAAAAAAAAAATCGAGATTTTTACAAATCTCGACGTTTTACACCTCACTGATACGGAAAAACATAATTTTGCAATCTTGTCCGTATGTCTGTGTGTCTGTCTGTGTGTCTGTCTGTGTGTCTGTCTGTCTGTCCGCGTGTAAACACGATAACTTGAGTACCGTTACTGCTAGGTTGATGAAATTTCATATATAAGTATTTTATCAAAATCGTAGATCCGTATCAACTTTTGAGCGATTTCCGATAACCGGAAGTGGTACTTTTCCTACTTTGAATTTTTCAAAAGCCTATAACTTGAGTACTATTTCAGATAGATAAACGAAATTTCACATGTAAGTAAAAGATCTAATTCTCTACCTTCTGTTAAATTTTGAGTAATTTCCGTTGACCGGAAGTAGTAATTTACGCTACTTCCGATTTCTCAAAAAACTAATGTAAATTTTAAAAGTACTAATAATATTGCGCACTATTATGCGCTTTTTTATTTGGCGTTCACTTGGTGTGCAATTAATTTGTCTACGAGATTTTATTCTATTTTTAAAACTTTAAGTATTTAAAATGGATTAAAAATCATGTCTATAGCCCGAGTTCCCATCCCCTGTTATTTGATATAAGAATATTCGAGAAAGTTTAGGGGAGATCACTCCCGGTTTATTTTTTATGCAGAGGAAAATAGCGACCAAATCCTTTTGTTCAAATTTTGTATTTGCTATAATAGAAGCTCTTTACCTCTTATGTGTATACTAAATTTCTAATTACATTATTATAATTTAACATATTCCATTGCATAATATACATTGGCAACTCTTTTCATAGCTGACGAAAAGCGTCGAAATGTGTCACTGTTGCGAGTCACCCCCCCCCCCTCCCCGCACCGCACCCTCTCTGCTTAAAGATAACTTTAATACAGTTAAACCGATAAACACAAAGGGGCTTAAAATTAAAAACTGCTTTAAATTTTTTTTTCGATCATCGGCACACAGTTTGATTAGCTTAGATCAAGATCTATAATATAGGCCTAGCGTCTTTTTGTTTGGCCTAACACGGATCTATTTTTAGAATTAACACGTCATAGCTTATTAAAAGAATTTTGGAAAGCAGATTTTTATTAATACACTTTGTATAGTTTTGTCTATTTTTAAACAAATTTATCTTTTAATTTGATTTTAATAATAATAAACATCAATTTAAAATAAATTCTATGCCCTATTGATGCAAAAATCAAAATCTCGTTTCGCCTCGTGATTTTCTGTGCATAATTAGGAGCCTCGATGTGAAACGTTCTTTCTCAAGCTTGGGCAGAGCGACAGGCCACGCTTTTAAAACCAGAATATAAATTATAAAATGCCTGTAAGTATTTAGAGTTTTCCTGCTTTTTTTCCATGTTTATTATTCAATAAATATGTGCTAGATATACAGTTTTAATGTTATGGCACATTAAGCTACAGGTTTACTCTATATCAGGCGAATTAATTAAATTATGAGTGGTGCTTCACAAATTTTCCCGGTAGCGTCTATTCATTGTTATGCGCCATTTTGAGAATTTGTTCATTTAGAAAAAAAAAAACTTGGTATCGTAGCCAAATCTAACTCTGCAGCTGCATACTACAATTTTTTAGTTTATGGGCTATTATTAAAGTCTTTAACAGATCTTATTAGATCCACATCTGTTAAATTTTTATTTTAGCTAAGGGCGTGTTAGAGAACTCTGTAACGATCTAGATTTTTAGATTTCTAGATCAAAGATTCTATGTTGGGGTTAGGAAAGCCTACCCGTTTATGAATACTAGAATCTAGGTCTAGATCAACTTTTTGCATTTGCTTAATGCATTTTTTTCGTTTCAGTATCAAGGAGGTGGCGGCGGCTATGGTGGAGGTGGTGGCTACGGCGGCGGTGGTGGTGGTGGTGGCAGATATGGCGGAGGTGGTGGTGGCGGCGGCCGAGGGGGTCGTGGAGGCGGCAGGGGCGGTGGTGGAGGACGTTACAATGATGAAGCCGACACAGATCCTAATGCAGAACAGTTTAGAAAGCTCTTTGTTGGTGGACTGAGTTATGAAACCGATGAAGATGGTCTCAGGACACACTTTGAAACATGGGGAGAAATAGTTGATTGTGTAGTGATGCGTGACCCCAATACCAAGAGGTAATATTTTTACCCTGATAGTTTACTCTAATTTGGTAACCTGCTTCGATGTAATATTAGATTTATGTGATGTGTTGTACTAGTTTTTTAGGATATAATTTTGTTTTCAGATCCAGAGGTTTTGGTTTTATTACATACAAAGACTCAGCAATGATTGATGAAGCCCAAGCTAACAGACCGCACAAAATAGATAACAGAGAGGTTGAAACTAAGCGTGCTATGCCAAGAGATGTACGTATGCTTGAACATTGTCAAATATCAACTTAGGACTATCTTTAATGAAGTTAAGCTACTATTGAAAGCATTTGTTTCTAATTTAGGCTGCAGGTACAAGTAATCATCAGTCTGTGAAGAAAATGTTTATTGGGGGGATGAAAGATGACACAACAGAAGATCAAATAAGAGAAGTCTTCAGTCCATTTGGGTCAATAGAATCAATTGATATTGTGACAGATAAAAACACAGGCAAAGTTAGAGGGTTTGCCTTTGTTAGTTTTGAAGACTATGATTCAGTGGACAAAGCTGTTTGTAAGTAATTTTTGTCAAAACTATTTTGAGTTAAAAGCTATGATGTATAAAAAAATTGATATCTGATTATTCTGATGGAATAAATTTCTACCACCTAGATCTCTGAGCTTAATTTATATTTTCTTTTTAGTGTGGTGATTAATCTTAATTTAAACTAATTAATATATATTGTTTTGTTCTTAGTAAAAAAGAGACACGATCTGAATGGGCGAAAAGTGGAGGTCAAAAAGGCAGTTTCTAAAGACCAAATGGAAGGTAGGCATTTTTTTTATATAAAGAAAAAGACAATTGGTAGGTGTTTAAAGTGCAGTAAACTAAAAAAAATTCTTTGTTTATAGGTGCTTCACGGGGAGGTGGTATGGCTGGCAGAGGAAGAGGACGGGGAGATAGCTATGGTGGTGGTTATGGTGCAAATGGAGGCGGATATGGTGAGTTTCTGATTCTTAAGTGTTAGCTCCAACATTTGATGTTGAGCATCTTTCATTTGTATCGCAGTTGTCATTGATGTGATTTGTATTCTAGTTGTCATTGCTGTTTTAATGCTTAATGCCATTCGAGTTTTTTCCAGATTTTTTCTAGCTCGGACGGATCAAGAATGACATTAATTTAGCATTTTTGTGTATTTAAAGTTGCAGTTATTGTTGAAATTTCCCCAAATCAATTATAATTGGGAAGAAAAGTGAATTAAAAGATAAATTGGGAATAGTAAAAGCGTGAAAAGATCTAGTTATTCTTGATATCATCCCACAGTGTTTTTTACAGCTAACTTAGCCAACATTTAGTAATAAGTGTAAATATGTGCCCTGTTACAGGAGGTTACAGTGGTGGTGGTGGCGGCTTTGGAGGTGGCGGTTACGGCGGAGGATATGGACAGGGCTGGGGAGGCTCAGGAGGCGGCTATGGCGACTACAGTAAGTTCCCCCTCCCAAGCGCCCCTCTTCTAAAAATCTGTTCAGGACATATCACTGATAGCGTTATCTCCGTAGGCGATAGAAATTGAAAGGTTAAAAGACTGAATTAAACACTGTGAGGCTGATGGGGTACAACAATAATTGCGGCGTTATATTTTTGAAATGCATGGAAAATTCTGTAAATTTTGGATTTACAAATAAATTTTCCCATATGTAATGTGTTGTATCTTTTCAATTATCAGACAGCAACTGGGGAGGAGGTGGTGGTGGTTTTGGTTCCAACTATGGAGGTGACTATGGTGGTGGCCCAATGAAAGGAGGCGGTTATTCAGCCCGTGGACAGGGTCCATATGGAGGTTTGTGTGCTCAGTAATTTTTCATGCATTTTAATTGGCTGCATTAAATTTTTGGGTCTAAATCACAGTTGTCAGTCAGCAAAGAAAATTTTAGAGGGTGGTTTAGTTGTTCTCTTCTATAGATTTGTTAGTTAGCATGCCTTATTTGCTTTTTCTAGTACATTTCTTCCAATTCCAACTTTAGATAAAAACGTATCAAACGTTTCGTCGGCAGGTGGCTATGGACAAGGTGGTGGCGGCTATGGAGGAGGTGGTGGTTACAGACGCTAATCTAATTTTGTTGTGCTATTCATACAAGAAAAAGGTAAGTTTCTTGCAAAAAGGGCTTTCATTTCAATGCTGCTGCTGTACAAGTTTACCTTCGGTGTGTAAGGTAGACAAGTCTTTAAAATTGTCCTTGTCATTGTAGCTTGGCATGAAAGTCTTTTTTGTGAGCGTTAGTTTTATTGAGTGGCTTTGGGAAAAGGTTCCTAAAGTTAAGTGGAAAGAAATGGAGACGTTTTGGATTTCCATGCTGTGACAAGGCTTCTTCAGTCATGTTTAGAGACTCCCCAACACTTTTAAAGCGCCCAATTGACTTAGTTACATTATTTGTGAAAGAAATTTGAAACTGGGCCATGGAGGATGAGGATCATCAGCGCTTTCCAAAGAATGCTGGGAGTCTCTTTTGGACATGAGTTGCCTGCTGCACATGGTAATGTATTGTGTATTGTCATGTTTGGTTTTCATGCTCCATTTTGCCAAGTATTTTGTTTCAGATGTCATAACTGCTGTTTCCTTTCCTCACTTCACTTATAGGCAGGCAGGCAAAGGTTGTAAGCAGATTAAGGATACTAGAAACTGGAAGATTTAGCAGGCAGGCAGTTCAGACTTCAGGCTTAGATAGGGTTGTATGATCATCAGCCTAGGGAATTCATCCTATCTAGTCTCAAAGCCTTCCAATCATCAATTGCAACATTAGGGTTTCCTAGCAACATTACGAGCAGTCTACTTGAGTGTTAGGAAATCAGATCAGGTAGCCGCGTCATTACTTCAGTGTAGTCACATTGCTCTTATTTTTCAATGTCAAATCAGTGTTATTTTCGTAAAGTATCCTTGTTATTGCTATTATATTATGAAATAAAAATTCTTCAAGGAAGACACAATTGAGAAGTTTTAGGGCCACATTCTTTATTTCTTGAAATGGAACTCCTTTTTCTTGCTTCCATTAGTACTCTAAAGAATTAATTATTCTAATGGGACATAACAGGGGTTAGTTGTGAGACTAGTAGCTAGTTTTTAGCCCTATTTTAGATCTTCAATTAACTGTGCCTGCCTTGATATTTTTAGATTAGTCAGTTGTATTGTCAGAATGTTATTGCCTGCGTTTTATCATCTATGTAAGAAAAAGCCTGCATCAGATTTTTATCAAAGTATTGCTTTTACTTTCCATCATCTGCTCATTTATCATCTCATCTTCATTGCCATATTGTGATGGTCCGGATATTTTACATATGTGGGGGGAGGGGGGTGGGTGGGGAATTATTCCTGACCATCATTCATACATACCATTGTTCCTTGGTGTTCTTTTATGTGAATGTTGTTTTGTCTTGTACTTTTATAATTTTTTTTTTACTTGATTGTTTGTGGAATAAATTACTTTTATCCCATCTATTAAAGACTTTTTCTCTCAATGAGCGAATGTGTTTGCAACTTAAGTTCTCATCAGTTTAGCAGAGCTTTATGTTGGTTTGCTAGCTGGCAAGATTGCAGTGACTATGTAGTGTGCAACTGCTGTCAAATATTGACTAGTCAAGACCAAAAAGTGATGGTTCATGAACCTGTTTGCTAATGTATTTGCGGGTAGTGACACATCAATATTTACATAACCCCTCCATGGCAACAGGTTTTGGATGAAGGGATTAACATAATTTGGAGTAGGGACAAAAAATGAAATCCATCATTACTTAAAAACAGTGCTATTCTGCGTTTGATCTATCAATGTGAACCATTGGCAGTGATGAACTGTTGCACAGTGAAGCAAAAATATTTTCAGGAAAGCACAAATCCGGATCATATGGTCACTAAAATATTTCTTCTGTGCCTGAATAAAACAATTGTACAATCAATATTTGTCTGCATTAGCTGGGAAGGAGAGAAAGCTATAGGTGACCATGACACTGCATTTCAGTTGTTCATGCACATGAAGAGATTTGGCAACCTGGGTCATATTCACTTTAATAATATTTATAACACAAAGTTCATCTGGCTCCCATTATAGGAGTACTGGTTGATTTCAGAGGTGGGAGATTGCAACTCCTAAGTATGGAAGAAAATTATTTTGGGTGACTCCTGAATGGGTACCCATATTTTGTCAGGAAAGTTCTGTCATCTAAAAGAAATGGTTCAATTTTTTTTTTTGGTGTAAAGTTAAATTGTTCGATATTTTTTACCAAATTCAGATTGTTACTTTGTACATGAAACACAATAACTTAACCAACAATGCAATGAGTAAAAAAACTACTTAGAAGCCAGTTTGTTATATTTTTCCCATTGCAAATTGTTGGGTGTGTTAAACCCAGTTGCCAGGGACCTTTTTTATAAAATTTATTTAAATGTACAACCTCTAATGTGTTCATCCCAACCACCTTATACATGGGAATGAGGCTGAAATTTTTTTTATAAAACGTGACTCCGGATATGACAATAGGAGTAGGAGCAAAAAATATAGCATCTCCTGGTAGATTCATCCCTGTTGCAGGGGAAAGGGTCAAATTTAATATTACACAACTTCACATAGGCCTTCCAAAAGGATGCTACTTTTCATCTCCTGTAATTCAAAAGGTTCCCTTGTGTATTGAGTTGAATATTTATTATTATGACTAAGTATTTGGTAGATTCTAAAAGTCCAGTGATTTGGTCTAAATTTTGAAGATAAAATAACACCAGTATCCAAATCTAAGGTGTAACTTTTTTGTTTAGAGGACAGAATGCAGTATGTCCACTTTTTTGTGAAATCATGTACATTTCTACTTATAATACAAGTACAAGAACACTCTCATACAATGTCAGAAAAGTAAAATGCAAATATTTTATATTTTGATATTGGAATGAGATTTCTAACTCATTTTTCTCGAGATTGTGTTATTTGGACATACTGCATTTGTCCTCTATACACACTCAGTATGTGTTTGGATGTCACAAATAGATGATTGCTATTAAAAATGAATATATGATTAGAAAAAAAGAAAGGTCTAGTACTGGTACTATAATGAATTATTAATTGTAATTTAATTTTATAATATTTTCATCAAGCAGTAATATTTAATTTTTATCACAGACAATTACACACCTTTGTTCAATAATCAAGTATGTAAAAATAATAAATATTATAATTATAATAAATAATATAAATAAGGTTGCAAGAAGTTGGACAAATTGTTTGGTATTGCTAATGAATAGCTATTAAGTTCATAACTTTAACAAACTGCAATCAGATTAATGAATTTCAGTGGTAGGAAACATGACCATGCCATGTAAATTGTAAACAGTCATACTGCTATATCATTCAGTGAGTGCTCTGGCTAACAATACATTCCTTGAAATTGAAGTAAAACTTTAAAATGTGCTGCTTAGACTACATCATACATGGTTCAAGTTGTGCTGTAGAATCCTTTACCACTAACTGGACATTCACTTTGTAGAATACATTCTCTTTCAGCATATGAATTTAAGTATCTTCTTGAATACAACAAAAGTGCTAAACCCCATTTCCAAGTCATGAAGCACCAAACACAAGTTAAATAATAACCTTCTCCATAGATAACCAGACCTGATAAAAAAAAAGTTATTTTTTAAAATAGAATTAGAAATATAATTTATTTAATTATTATGAACTACTTTCACAGTAAAATAAACATGCACAAGTACAGTATAAATTGAAATAATTGTCTTTTACCACAGGGTGTAGTCTCATTACAAACAATTACTTCCTGTCTAGGTCTAAAAAAAATTTAACAGTTTTTACAAATTATCTTTTTTTTCAGTACTTTTTACTATTACTATTACCAGTTTTTAAGTGCATTGCAAACAACCACATCAATAGACTTGAAATGAGAAATTACCTTATATTAAAATATTACAACAAGACTACAATAAATTTCAATAATAATTACATAAAAAATCACCATTCCATTTCAGAAGCTGGATTGTGTAACTTTAATATCACAAGAATATTAATATTATATTTTATAGAAATTATAATTGTATATATAGCAGTTGTTTGTGAGGAAAAAATTCCTCTCCTCCTAACTGACACTACAGTACAGACAGCTTAAAATTAAAAAAGTCAGTCTTTACAAAAGAATAGGAAAATACTAGGTCTAAATATTCAGTAGACCATATAACATGATATACAGACAACCATTTTAACAAAAATAAAAGTTATAAGATCTGGATTTTACCTAATAATATAACTTATATTATTAGGTAAAATCCAGATCTTAAAAGTAATATAGGCCTATGTCTCAGACAGGCATATACTATTTTACTAATACTAACCTTGGTTTTTAGAAATTGCTAACACCAAGTAAGCAACAAATCCACAAACACCAGTCAGCTGAATAAAGCAACCAAGCAGCATGAAGCGCTTCAAACGTAATGGATAAGAATCCCATACTTGCTTCATGTAAGCAATCGTAACACCAAGGGCAATAGCAGCTGATAGACCTGTGATGACAATACAAAAATAATGTTATGCATGTAATTGTTTAAAATAAACATGATGGCTGTGAAAAACAAGCCATTAATCATTAATGAGACTCAAACTCAAGAATAAAAGGATATTATTACTTAAAGATAGATACTACAACTTAATACAACGAAATATTGGGCTCATGGATTGTATGCTCTAGTGGTTACTGTTAGGCACATATCCATATCACAACAGAGCTCTGCAATTTAATTGATGAAATGCAAATGTAAGTAGGCCTATTTCTTCTATGATGCCTGCACCAACACATTTAAGTTACTTTGCGCTGGTTAGTCTAACCTGACACCACACTGACTAAAAATTATCATCACGCCTAACAGTACCAGCAACAACAAAAAAAGGTGAATGAGATGATACCAATAACTTTTTATATATATAGATATATATGTTGCTATAATATATTTTTATTATATATATATATATATATATATATATATATATATATATATATATATATATATATATATATATATATATATATATATTGTTATATAATATATACATATAATATATATATATATTGTTATATAATATATATATATATATATATATATATATATATATATATATATATATATATATATATATATATATTGTTATATAATTTATACATATATATATTGATATATAATATATACATATATATATTGTTATATAATATATACATATCATTGATATATAATATATATGTTACGGTCAAAGCCCGAAGTGCGGCCAAACCCCGGATTGGCCGGCCAATCCGCGCATTGGCCGGCTCTCTTGGCCAAAGCCCGAAGAACTTAGCACTAAGATCGTATTTCGTACATTGGCCGGCCAATGGGCGCACTGGCCTGGACGTACTGGCCAAAGTCCGAAGCGCTTAAACTTGACAGCGTATTTTGTACATTGACCGGCCAATGCGCGCACTGGCCAGGATGTCCTGGCCAATGTTCTATCAAGACTAAGTTGTGATCGCATTTTCATTATTCTGGGTGCGTTTTCATTGAGAGTAACGTATTGTTTAGCTCTTGTTTGTATAGCATTCTATATGAAAGTCGACATGGATCAAAAGGGCAGTCAGACCATGAGACAGACATAGCAGATGGCTGTCAAAAGAATAAAATGTAAATCCATGTTATTTTCCATATATGCGCTATCGATAAAATAGTTACTGAGGAAGATATTGAGAACATTGAACAAGAAATGGAGGTTGCCATAAATGCAACGACATCCTCAGCTAACACATCTACTGGCATGACAGAACGCCCAATAATGTGGCCAACAGATTCTATATAGTTTGTGAAAAACATTGTAGTGCAGCTCATTCTTTTGGATCCTGTGGCAACGATGTCCATGCTATTTGTGGAATACCCAATGAAGCAGACGAAGGGTACGGAGGGAACATTACCTGCAGATTGTGTCACAAAAAACAAGCCATCATGGAACACAGATCAGCAGCTCATACTGGCTTGCAAACTCAAGGTGCTAAGATGCTTAAAACATCAAATACAAAATTTAAAGATGGTGAAGTGGGTGACAATGTATGCATCCGTTTTCCAGATGTTGACAGAGGTCACGGTGATCCCCGAAGCGTGATTGCAGTTGTCATGAGCGTCGAGGGCGGTTTCTACAAATTAGGAACGGAACATGGTGTTCTAAAACAACTGTATGCTAGTAGTGAGTTTTCAATTCTTCACGAAAAACTGCTCTTATTGTCGTAAGTTGACACTGAGGAAAATTCACTACGAACCATCGCATCTTCACAATCATTGACTGGGGGCCAAGGCTACACTCGCTGCAATTGCACAACTAAGTGCACAACAAATCGCTGCAAGTGTAAAAATAACAAGCTGCTATATCATTCTAAATGCCATAAAAGTTCAACTTGTAACAAGTGATAATATTGATAGATTGAGACTATAGTACAATAAAAAATGTGAATGTTTCTGTCATTTACTTTAATTAATAATCAATAAAGACTTAATTTCATGATCCTTACGGCATAAAAAAAAAAATCTGCTCATGATCTTCTAATTCGGACTTTGGCCGGTCGTCCCTAACCAGATGATCTTCTAATTAAGACTTTGGCCGGTCCACCATGGCCAGTCCGCGGACTGGCCGGCCAAAGGCCGAAATCAAGAGCTATTTCAGACTTTGGCCGGTCCACCATGGCCAGTCTGCGGATTGGCCGGCCAAAGGCCGAAATCAAGCAAAGTTTCGGACTTTGACCGATCTATGGGAGGCGATATTGGCCAATGCGCGGATTGGCCGGCCAATCCTAGCATTGGCCGACTTCGGGCTTTGACCGTAACATATACATTGATATATATACATATATATTGATATATATAAATTAATTTGGGCCTATATATATATATAGAGAGAGAGAGAGATTATTATCAATTTTTTCGTAAGTATCAAGTAAAAACTAAAAAAGTTGATGAGTTAAAAAATATAAGACAAAATGTTATAAATACATTTTTTTGATAGTCTAGGTGTAGCATCTTAGGCATGCTAGTATTGCTAGATCTAAGATCTAACTAAAAAGTTAATAATACTCCTAACCACCTATGCAGGATGCCCAATTAGTGGATACCAAGTGCTAAGATCGCCGCCCAGGATTTCTGGGTACTAAATAGCATCCAAATTAATTCATTTTTATATACCAAATATTGAGAAAAATTGCACATTCTCTCATGTCACATTTAAAGATTTTTATCAGCAAAGTTTTAGTACAAATTAGGCCTACTTGAATATCAAGTTTCTGTACAGCCAATCAATGCGTATGCCTTGTCTTACAAAATTGAAATCACAGTTTGGGCTATAATTATAATTTAGCCTTGATGAAAAAATAAATAGAAATGTAATATGTAACCTTAAAAATGCTAAAAACTATTTTCAAGTTCTCTATTTTTATATGATTAATTCTTAAAACATTAGGGTGTAAAATTAACTTTACTGGTATTCAAAACAGACTTCCAAAATTAGTTGTGTTAGGTTGTTTGTAGTCAGTTAGTAGATCTAGAAATCTAGATTAAATAGTATAATTGTAGTTTCAAGTTTAGTTTCTTTAATAGTTAGAAATTTTAGGGTTAGGACTATGGTAGGACTTGGGTTGGAATTAGCATTGGCCTATAAAGCCCTATATTCAATATATTTATATTTATGTATTATATGTGACGATAACGTGATGTCAATCACAATGCTGCATTGTGATTGACATCACATATAATACATAAATATAAATATTGAATATAGGCCTAGGCCTAAGTCATGTGTATATAGAATCTAGATCTATATATATATATAGAATCTAGATCTAGTATATTTATTAGGCCTATTTTTAAGTATTTTATTTTAAACTTTAAAAACAACACCCCTACAGTACAGCCTTACACTCATACACTGTGCCTGGACTGTGCCATTATCATTATGGGACATAATCATTGGTATAATTATTACCTTATGACGCCTTATGTACATGTCACGATTATGATTATGATAGTAATAATACTACTAGATCTAGATCTAGATATAATAATTTTATTTCCCTACCCGAAAGGAGTCCCCATAAAGCAACATGATAGTTCTTATAATGAGCAGCGAAAACGCAGCCAACTGAAACTCCAACGAATACACCAATGACACTAAAAATCAACCGCAAACGAACTGAAAAGTTCGAAAGTCGTTTGACTTGGGGCTCCTCCATTTTCTCTCTCTACTGACTAGAGTCAGGATAGGTTAAGGACTGAAGTGTAAGACCCGTTAGGCCTATGTTAACATAAATGGGTCACACTCTTAATTTATTTTTAGAAGATCCGGTTCACTTTGTACACCGGTCGGGTAAGACCAGTATGAGGCAGTTTTATTAATGAAGCTAAAATGTGTCACTCATGTATGACTTCAACACGAGTGGGACGAGAGAAAGGAGATGTACTAGAATCTATATTCTTATACTTATATTCATGTTTTGAGGACTCAGGGGACTAGAGCATGTGAGATCGTCCACCCATTGAATAAAACAAATTTAAATGAATCGGGAGTGATCTCCCCTAAACTTTCTCGTCTACTCTCATATAACTCATATAACCGTTGGGTGTTGGTGAATGCAGGAATGTCACTTCCAGAGCTGAAAAACTGTTTTATTATTATTATTATTATTATTTACTTTCACTAGAAAACCGCGAATAAGATCATATACCTTTGTATAAAATTTCATCTAGCTAACTGAAACAGTACGCAAGTTATATAGAGCCTTCGTATTTTTAGAAACTAGAAATAGAGTAAATGTCCACATCCGGATATTGGAAGTCCCTTAAAAATTGAATGTGATTTAAGTGTAAGATGTTTTACTTCTATTTATAAAATTTCGTATACGTAACTGAGGGGCCGTCCATAAATGACGTCACTCGAAGGGGGGGGGAGGGTGAAGGGGGGTTAGATGGTGTGACGTCATACTTTTGCATTATTAAACAGCAATGTTAGAAAACGAGTTTTAGCCGTTATTTCGCGTTTTAGAAAACGGTATTAATAAGTTGTTATAGGAGTTGATTAAAATACTCTACGTTGACAGAGTTCAAGGTTTTGGAAAAATATCGATTTAAAAAAAATAATTCAATTGCAATTTTGAGGGGGGGGGTTGTAGGCTGAGGTGTGACGTCATTTTAGGGGGGGGGTCTGGCCTTTTGTGATGATGTGTGACGGAGGGGGGGGGGGGAGGTAAAAATCGTCAAAAAAGCGTGACGTCATTTATGGATGACCCCTGAAACACTAGTCGATTTATCGTGTTCCCACGGAAATAAATGTTGATGTATCTCTTCCGATTATCGAAAATCGATCAAACTTTGATAGGAACCGGCCTACACAATTTATTACTTGTATGCAGAGGCGTATCCAGGTTTTCGTTGTAGGGGGAGCGAAAAGAGCAAAAAAAGGCGCCGAATTTTTAACACGTTCTATATACGTGTATTATATATATATATATAAGCTAATTTTCTGGCGGCATGGTACTTTTGTACATCATTACGCGTTTTTCTACATGTACTTAACAGATCAGTTCGGGGTGGGTTGGGGGGTGGGGGTGGGGTGGGTTCAACTTCATTCACCACAGTCCGTTCACTTTAGGTCAAATATCCAACCCAGTGTATACCTAGGCGTGACATTAATGTCCCTCTACACAATTGTGGTGGTGAGGTGTATAGGGGGGGGGGGGGAAGATAACCTACTCAGAGTGAACATAGCGTCAGTTTTTAGATGACTGTTCTAAACATACATATATATTACACAAATATATATTACACAAATATATATTACAGAAATAGATTTAAATAAGTAGCAGTGGTATTATGACAATATTTTTTTACAGAGGGGTCCATGGGGGAGGGGGGTTGTAACTGTTTCATATAATTTGTAATCGTAATCACTATCGCTCAAACTGTAAGAATACTACTACTTCATCGTGATGACGTTGTTGACCTTGTCAAAATTTCCCCACCACTACCCATTTTGCTCATAAGTAAATTTAAATAGAGGTGCCACATCAGTTGTATTTGTTTCTGTATTGTAATTTTTAAAGAATTAATCACACGATTCAAACTGTATATATAAAGTAATTATGTGTGAAGTTTTATGTATAACATTTTCTAATTCAATTATTCGTAAGCAAATACATTATACAGTTGCCTTAAACTTAACAATCCTCTTGCCAAGTGGTACTACCGTAGAGGTTTTTTAAACATTGCAATGCATCGTAAGGGTTATTTTTAGAATTGCAAACTGATGCAGCTGTTAATACGTGTTGTAAACGTAGACACTGCTAGACTAGTACAGTAATGCTTAATTGCTGCATGAAAAGAAATCTTGTGATTTACATAGATGAGCCGACCAAAAATATTTTTTTAACAAATATCATAGTTTAAAACTTTGAGTTTAAAAAGTTTCCAAAAAGGCGCCACTATGCTGAAAATGGCCAGAGGGGGAGCGGCCGCTCCCCCTGCTCCCCCCCTGCGTACGCTACTGCTTGTATGTGAAATCTCGTCTACCTAACTTTAATGGTGCTTAAGTTATTGGTTTTTATGAGACAGGAAGTAGAGTAGGTACCATTTCCGGTTACCGGAAATCGCTCAAAAGTTGATAGAGAACTTCAAATTTGATATAATACTTGTATATGACATTTGGTCAACAGGACTAAATCAGTACTCGTGTTATCGCGTTTACAGACCCACACAGAAACATGAACTTTCTTTCTTTAATAAATAAGTAAAAGCTTTCATGGGCAACCAATGCTTTTATCACTTTCACTTTCAGCAAAAGCCGAACCATCCCATTTCACCACAACCTTAAAATTAGTCAGTCTAGTTTAACTCCACTTGTATGCGTGATCAATATCTAATCAATCATTCTGTGCTGAATAATTAAGCTGGCTACGGGCTACATAGCTTACATTTCGCCCGTTAATGACGCCACACACCTCGGGAGGAGGGGAGGGGGTAATCAGACGATCAGATACGTAGATAGTGGAACAGTAAAAAATATTCCGAATTCACAAAGTTATAGAAATTCAATTGCCTTTAAGATATAATGAACTTGAAGCTGCAATGTGCATGCATGTTGCTCTAGCCTACAGCTGCTTAATTACGATAGGTCATTATTCACAGCCTCTCATTTCGACTGTCATTTGGGGAGGGGGGGGGGGGAGAAATTAGATTGTTGTGAAGATCTTGAAATGAAATACAGCTAGTTGAAAAGTTGGAAACAGAAGAAACGGATGAATTAACTTGTGCGGTAAAACAGTGCGTCAGTTTTGATAGCATAAGATATATGACGAAGGTGATTCTGCTGAAGAATTATTGTTCTGTAAATCATATAGACAGTAACACTACCTCCAAAGTTTAAAAAACAAATTACCCAGAAGCAGTGGCGTCACTAGCTCGGGTGTCGGCCTGGGCGCCACCTCATTTTGCCACCCCATTCCGGTCGTTGATTGAATATCATTGATTGAAAAGGCTCAACAAAAGTGTTTTTCCTATGTAAATTTTGTAAATTTTTCTGTAAGTGCCACCCCAACCTCCCACCCCTTTGCACAGTTAATATTTCGTTTATCTATAGCTGGATGTAACAGCTTTCTCTTATTAAGTTAGCAAGTTTACTCGGGATCGTCAGTTTGTACACACAACTTTAGTTGAACGTGAGTTAAACCGGGAAACGCATTTTTCTTCTGTATATTTGAAAAAAAAAATGTCTTGGTGTCACCTCTATATTGTGTCAAACGGTGCGGTACCACGACACTACCATACCTATGAGAAACATAAGCCCCTGTTCTGCTGATGGTGCTCTTAATACGACGGAGCAGAAAAACGATTGCTTCAAACTGATGAAAGATGATAATCCCGAAATGTGTCTTGTGCATGACGTTATATACAAGGTAAACCTGATAGATAAAAAAAACATTTCGCATGTTTTTAAATGAAGTACTAATTGCCGATTCACTGTTTATAACAAGAATTTGAATTTAGGTTCCTTGTCTCCAAACAGTGGCCAGTGTTTCTTCCAGACTTTTTTCTTCGGGGGGGGGGGGGGGAGGGGTTAGAAGAGGGGGGGGGGGGCACGGGAGCACTTGAAATTTTCGGGGGGGGGGGGCGGACTCTATTAAAAGTATATATTTTCTATATAAATTCCATTTCGTTCGGGGGGGGGGGGGGTAAACCTTTCTTCGGGGGAAGGGGGGGGGGGGGCAGCATCCTGGAGATGCCTGGAAGAAACTCTGACAGGGGGGTACGTAACAACCAATTTCAGTGACCGGAGTGAACTATCAATTTTGCAGGGCGCTTTTTTTTTTGGTATGACACAATGGATATTGGAAAACAGTCACATTCTCTTTTCTTAAATTTGACTGTCTATAATTCAGTAATCAGTTATGTAGCTCAAAATATGCTTTTGTTTATGTTTTTCAACCTTATTTGACACCCCCTCCTCCATAGGGTCGACGCCCATGACGCCTCCACCCGTACTCCCCTAGCTACGCCTCTGGCTCCAAAAATTTGAAGTGACAGTTATAGGGGGCCTATATAATATATTGTCGAACATATGAAAATGTAAATTACATTGTAATCAGCTGACCTAAAGGAGATATTGTTTTTTTCCCCAGCTTTAGTGATGCAGACTATGTTAGGCCCTTAGTGGATTTTTATAAGGCTTTAAATGGAGTAGAGCATAAAAAGTATGAAACAGTTTTTATGGCACTCAAAATTTCCCAATTGAAAGTGAGGTAGATTGTAATGACTGACGAGAAGCCGCGTTGGTTGTTAACAGTCTTTATTATGTACAGACGCTATGATGCAAAGAGAGAGAGAGAAATGGCGAGAGAGAACTATATATAGATAACAACATGTAAGGGACATCACTCAAGATAACAATATAAATATAATACTAATACAGAGAGTGAGTTCCCTTGACCTCACAATTAACTCAATCTATTACATCCCTTTACCCTTAGAACACAATAACACATCTCTCAATAGAACAATTGATAGTATCCTAAAATCACCAATTATATTGTGACATGAACATTATGGTAGATTACATCCTTACAAACAATGCACAATATGCCACAACATAATCAAAATACAAAACAATAATGTCAAAGTCCTTTTGACCTTTAGAATCATAGGTCTAACTTATTTGGGACCTTGATTGTCCTGCTTGACCTTCTCAGTGGCTTTTGATTTGGTGACTCAAGATTCTGACCATCTGGATTCTCTATCTCAGGAGGTCTAGGATTTAAA